AGCAGGCATAAATTCAGGTGTTTTTGGAGATAGCATATGTTGTTGATCTCTGCTGGCAGTGAAGTCTTTGCTTTCTTTAGTTGTCACAAATTTGTTACATCCATTATAACTTGCATTCTGACCTTCACACTCAGTATCTACACTTTCCCATTCTTTTTTTAAGTGTAAGCTGTCATGGCCACAAATACTGTATCTTCCCTTTGTCATAGTTTGGAATGAATGTTTTATACCCACTTCTGATGAAATATCTTGGGCAAAGTGAGAAGACACAGCTGAAAGAAACCAGAATAACAAATTATGCCACAAATGAGGCTCAGTTGCAGTTTATAAATCTGATGTATTTTAAAAGTATAGCAATGTTGGGCATGGTGGTGCTTTTGTGTAATCCCCCGACCTGGGGATACTGGGGCAGAAGGAGTGCAAGTGTGAGTATAACCCATGAATTAGTGGGCAAGTGTCTCAAAAAATGTGGAGGGGCTGGGATATAGTTTAGAATAAGGACTGGGAGTTCATTCTCAGTACTGTTTATATCATGTATCAAGATGAAGTATCAGTATAATAGCAAAAATACTAAATATATAGCTTCTTCTTAAGGGCCTTATCTTCCCCTACAAACGTATGACTTTCAGAGCTTCTGAATACACACTTCAAAGCTTAACCTCCTTTTTGGTCTTTGGATCTCTCACCTGTGTCCTCTGCTCCATCCACTCCCACTTACCTGGATGGATTACTACTGACTCTTGTTTCTTTACATTCCAAGGCTCTTTGCTTTGCTCCAGACAGGTGATCATGTATGGCTTAGAGTCAGCAAGACCTGTTTATTAGAAAACAGTAAATGATACTTGCTCTGAATTCTCCCTGCAACTACTGACTTCTCTCTCCCAGCTTGTACTCTATATAAGACATAATAAAACATTCAAGAACATTGTCTCTACAGATGCCATTTCCATATGAATCCATTAGAATATGTGGAAAGCAGTTTCGATTTGTGGATCTTGAGTTCTTCTTTTAACCATATCTAAGTTAAAGCTAAAAGGGCAAAGGAAATTAACTGATAGTGAAGAAGAAATTATGTAGGGAAATTATTCTCACCCAGGGAGACCAGATTTCCATAGGTCTCTAACATCACATCCCTATACAAATTCTGCTGAGCAGAGTCCAGGTCTTCCCATTCCTCCAGAGAGAAATCAATGGCCACGTCTCTGAATGTCAACAGTTCCTAAAAGATAGATAAATAAATAAATACCACATTAACTGGGTAGGCACTGACTGAGATTTTAATTTGAACCAATACAAAATGAGAGGAAAACTGGTCCTGACATAGGTGATATATAACTGTTCAATAAAACATGTTTTAGCCCGGTAATAACCTAATGTATTAAACAACTTTTTTTTTTTTCCTGATTTTCTCCCACTGTGAGCAGTTTTTTTCTCTCCATAATTTTATTTAAACAACTTTGACGAAAAGATATCAGATAGTCTATGATAGTAAACTTCTTTAGTATTGTATCTGTATCATACAAGGTAATATATGTGTATTTTTCAGATGAGAAAGTTATGCTGAGTTCACAGTGAGCTAGAAGAGTATTGTTCAGCTTTGAAGATCCTATTCAAACATATTCTGATTCAATAGTTTTGTAATGAGGCCTGGATTTCTGAACATACAGCAAGCTCATTAGTGATGTCAATGTCAGTGGTCCAAGGTGACACTATTTTGAATAGCCAAAAGAAGAAAATCATGGGAGAATTCACATACATTTCATTGAAATAATTTTTTTTTTGGCAGAACCAGGATTGAACTCAGGCCCTTGCGCTTGCCAGGGAAGTGCTTATTCTACTGAGCCATCTCCCCAGCCCCTGGCTGAAAGAATTTCAAGGAACTTAAAACATTTTAATATAATCTCAAGTAAAGCAACAATCTGCTTTGAATTTTTTTCAATCTTTATTTACCTGGTACAAAGTCTCACTATGCAGCTTGGACTCACAGTGATCCTCCTATCTCAGCCTCCCTAATGCTGAGATTACAGGTATGTGCCACCACAACCAGTTTTGGTGGCTGGGTGAGCACCTGGCCGGCATAGCATGTGGAACCAGGGGTCGAACTTGGATCCTTGTCCTTTCCAGGCAGGTTCTTAGACAGCTAGGCTGTCTCCCCAACCCAACAATCTGTTCTGAGCATGTAAAATGTGTGTAACATATGCGATTCTAACAGTTTCACATCTTAATGTATAACTGTTATGGTTTGCAGTC